GGGGCAATGGGTTGGTGGAAGTGGTCAGAGGGGGCAATGGGTTGGTGGAAGTGGTCAGAGGGGGCAATGGGTTGGTGGAAGTGGTCAGAGGGGGCAATGGGTTGGTGGAAGTGGTCAGAGGGGACAATGGGTTGGGGGAAGTGGTCAGAGGGGACAATGGGTTGGGGGAAGTGGTCAGAGGGGGCAATAGGTTGGTGGAAGTGGTCAGAGGGGGCAATGGGTTGGTGGAAGTGGTCAGAGGGGGCAATAGGTTGGTGGAAGTGGTCAGAGGGGGCAGATGGGGCAATGAAGCCCATTCAGCCTGGAGAATTCTGTGAACCTCGGTCCGGTGTGGACGATCTTCCATGTGATACGTTGCCGATCTCTGTTCTTGTTCGCAGAGAGCACATGTCACATGATCGGCCCCCAAATAACTGCCGCCTCCATGTGGAGGGTTTGACTTCTTGTTCCACTTGTACTTTCTCCCCTCATTGGCTGTACAGGTGTCTGAAGCAGGTAAAGGGAAAATGATTGGCCCCCAGGATTGAGTAGCGGCGTCCCTGCTCTGCTCCTGCATGTGCCCTTTATCACAGAGCGTGATGTCATGGGGGCAAAGTTTGTGCAGGTGTCAGGCGCTGGACGAAGGAGGTGAAAGAATAAATGGATTGGTCCCCTCCGCACTTCTATTGCTCTGGCACATGTCGCTATGTGGCCCCCCGGTGGTAGGATGCGGTACTGCCCCTGTCTGGTGAGCTCATTGTCATATTATTATTATTGGGGGGGGCCCTCCGGGTCTCTTTGGGTGATAATGGGGGATATTGCTTGTTTAGGAGAGACGGAGTGCGTGGAAGGCAATCTCTCCTGGAAGTGTCCTCTCATTATCCGGGCTCCTTCACCAGCTGTGGCCCTTCATGTTACAGAATTAACCCTTCACCTGCCATAGCCAGGAACATGACTGACCACCAGAGGATTGTCTGTGCCCCGTATGGGGTGGGTGGGGGGTCTTCTGGGGGCCAGTGACTCCCATCATCCCAGAGCACGCCGGTCCCTCTAGGGGCCAGTGACTCCCATCATCCCAGAGCACGCCGGTCCCTCTAGGGGCCAGTGACTCCCATCATCCCAGAGCACGCCGGTCCCTCTAGGGGCCAGTGACTCCCATCATCCCAGAGCACGCCGGTCCCTCTGGGGGCCAGTGACTCCCATCATCCCAGAGCACGCCGGTCCCTCTGGGGGCCAGTGACTCCCATCATCCCAGAGCACGCCGGTCCCTCTAGGGGCCAGTGACTCCCATCATCCCAGAGCACGCCGGTCCCTCTAGGGGCCAGTGACTCCCATCATCCCAGAGCACGCCGGTCCCTCTAGGGGCCAGTGACTCCCATCATCCCAGAGCACGCCGGTCCCTCTGGGGGCCAGTGACTCCCATCATCCCAGAGCACGCCGGTCCCTCTGGGGGCCAGTGACTCCCATCATCCCAGAGCACGCCGGTCCCTCTAGGGGCCAGTGACTCCCATCATCCCAGAGCACGCCGGTCCCTCTAGGGGCCAGTGACTCCCATCATCCCAGAGCACGCCGGTCCCTCTAGGGGCCAGTGACTCCCATCATCCCAGAGCACGCCGGTCCCTCTGGGGGCCAGTGACTCCCATCATCCCAGAGCACGCCGGTCCCTCTGGGGGCCAGTGACTCCCATCATCCCAGAGCACGCCGGTCCCTCTAGGGGCCAGTGACTCCCATCATCCCAGAGCACGCCGGTCCCTCTAGGGGCCAGTGACTCCCATCATCCCAGAGCACGCCGGTCCCTCTAGGGGCCAGTGACTCCCATCATCCCAGAGCACGCCGGTCCCTCTGGGGGCCAGTGACTCCCATCATCCCAGAGCACGCCGGTCCCTCTGGGGGCCAGTGACTCCCATCATCCCAGAGCACGCCGGTCCCTCTAGGGGCCAGTGACTCCCATCATCCCAGAGCACGCCGGTCCCTCTAGGGGCCAGTGACTCCCATCATCCCAGAGCACGCCGGTCCCTCTAGGGGCCAGTGACTCCCATCATCCCAGAGCACGCCGGTCCCTCTGGGGGCCAGTGACTCCCATCATCCCAGAGCACGCCGGTCCCTCTGGGGGCCAGTGACTCCCATCATCCCAGAGCACGCCGGTCCCTCTAGGGGCCAGTGACTCCCATCATCCCAGAGCACGCCGGTCCCTCTGGGGGCCAGTGACTCCCATCATCCCAGAGCAGGCTGGTCCCTCTGGGGGCCAGTGACTCCCATCATCCCAGAGCAGGCTGGTCCCTCTGGGGGGGTCTAGGGGCCAGTGACTCCCATCATCCCAGAGCACGCCGGTCCCTCTAGGGGCCAGTGACTCCCATCATCCCAGAGCACGCCGGTCCCTCTGGGTGCCAGTGGCTCCCCTCATCCCAGAGCACGCGAG